GTAAAAAGAATGAAAATAAAAGCACAAGGTCTTCCTTCACCAACCCAAAGATCCTAAAATTATACACCATCCCTTTACTCTGCCGTTTATTATCTTCAGCCTAAGATAGTTTAATTGTGCACGCCCACTTTTTAGACCCACGAGCCGCCCCTGATACTGGACTAGGGTTTGGATAGTTCTGGTTCGAATCCCAGGTTGGGTGCTTTTGAACTTGGGTTGTGTTATGGAGTCTTTAACCTATGAACCCATTTGGCTCGGTGATATCGGAGACAGACATAACACTTTGTCGTATGAGATTAATTGAGTATTATCTGCATTGTAAGTACTTTTGAGAGACTGGTAGCCGAAATATTTGATGAATGAAAATGCAAAACAGATAGAGACCTTTTTTACCTGTGTATTTTTCTCGGTGTAGAATAGTCATTTCAGAACAACAGACAGATCACCATGTAATGAGTTGTAGATAGAATCCGCAACAAACCGTTACTGGAAACATCCACACAACGGAGGTAGACAGACCACCTCTGATCTCACACAATGACATGTCGTTCTGTGGACTGACCTGAGATCCTGAGCTGTGTGTGTCTGTCGTCGGCCAAGGCTGGACTCAGGTGGGGCGGGAACGGGTACGGGTAGTCTTCTGGATAGCCTGCTCAGACCAAAAAAATGTTTTTTCAGAATTTAAAAATATAGATATATTTTAGTTGTAGGTGTATTTGCGTCCCTGTTGTCCCCTTTGACACAATTTAGATCATTTAGAAGGCGGGCTTCCAACCCTGCCTATCAGGGCCAACTCAGGCTGAGATGCGTATAAAAATCCCATCAGAAAGACAAATAACTCGATAAGACTTCTCCTCCACACGGGAATCTAAGTCGGGTTTCCTGCATGCGACTCGACAGCGAAGAAGCTCGTAGAATTGTTTAGAAAAGGTTCACGTGTGGTCATCGGCGTCGTTCTTGTCGTTGCTATTGTTGTTGATGTCGTTGACATTTATGTTGCTGATGCTGTTGCTTTTTTATGTGTTTGTTTGTTATTTTATGGCAGTATTCATTGTTGTTGCTTTTGTGGCTGTTGTTGTTATTATTGTTGTTGTCGTTGTTGTTGCTACCATATTTATTTTTGTTGCTGTTATTATCAGTTTTGTTGTTGTTGTTGCCGCTGCTGCTGTTGTTGTTGTTTTTGTTGCTGTTGTTGTTGTTGCTGCTGCTGCTGTTGCTGTCGTCCGAGCCGCTGTCGTCGTCGTTGATGTAAGATCATAGCTTGGCAAACATATGTGATGTGAGAGAGCTTTATTTAACGAAACTGATAAGTCTGTGTTGATCAAAACTGGAGATAGACCATTCTTATCCTCAAAGACACAATTTTCTGTGGGAGGAAAAAAAAAGATCAAGATCGGCTTTCCATGCGGTGTGTGTACACATAAACTACTTCCTGTTTACAGTACTTTAAGTCAAGCCAGGAACGGAAACTGGCGCGTAAATGTCGCGTAAAGGTTACATTCACGGACTCGCTGGAGCGCGATCAGGTTTTGCGTTTTGTTTGAGGTGATGGTCGCATGCTTCTACCGGCATCGTGCAATAGAAATTTGTCATTGTTTACTTTTCGTTTTTTTTGTTATTTGTTGGGGGGTTTCTTTTTTTGTTGCTGTTTTTTTTTGTGGGGTTTTTTTTTAGTAAAGAGAAGCAGATCGACACAATAGTGGTCATTTAGTGCTTGGGGGGGGGAGGGTAGGACAGACAGACAAACAGAAGCAGCAGAGGGGAAAGTAAAGAAGTAGGACCTATCGGTGGCGCCTCCAACCACCCATGATAATAAGTGGACAAAATGATATACTGATGGAAACCACGAAGAGGAAAACGATCAAGAAGAAGACCAGAGAGAAGATAACATCATTAGGAGACGGGAAAAACCTGGACACGGAGAACATCTGATAGAACAAAGTGGATGTCGTTGTTGGAGGGCTACATCCAGCAGGGAACCACCAACGCCGAGAAATAAAGACAGAAAGTAGTAGCAGTAGCAGCAGCAGCAGCAGCAGCAGCAGCAGCAGCAGCAGCAGCAGCAGCAGCAGCAGCAGCAGCAGCAGTAGTAGTAGTAGTAGTAGTAGTAGTAGTAGTAGTAGTAGTAGTAGTAGTAGTAGTAGTAGCAGCAGCAGCAGCAGCTACAGCAACAACAGTAGTAGTAGAAGAAGAAGTAGTAGTAGTAGCAGCAGCAGCAGCAGCAGCAGCAGCAGCAGCAGCAGCAGTAGTAGTAGCAGCAGCAGCAGCAGCAGCAGCAGCAGCAGCAGCAGTAGCAGCAACAGCAGTAGTCGTAGAAGAAGAGTACAACGTACAAAAGTAACATAAAACGTTGTGTTCTGACTAAAATAAAATTACTCCAAATATTCATCTTATTAATTTAAAAACAGAAACGACTTCAACTGACATTTGGATGAATCAAATGATTTAGTAGTAGTAGTAGTAGTAGTAGTAGTAGTAGTAGTAGTAGTAGTAGTAGTAGTAGTAGTAGTAGTAGTAGCAGTAGTGGTGGTGGTGGTGGTGGTGGTGGTGATGGTAGTGTTTAATTTCACTCAGATCATTATCTTAATACAGAATGTTTAATTCGTCTAAACCCATTACTGTTTTAAGAAGAGAAATGAAACTAAGAGCAATCTATACGCCTATTAAACTCTACAACTTCCCTTTTTTTTTTTTTTTTAATTTCCACTTTTTCCAAATTTTGACATTCTCCAGTGTTGAATGTCGATTATGTAAAATTTCGTTACCGGCTACCGGCAGTCAAGGGGGTTATATAGGTCCTTGCCCGCAGTTCAAAACCGAGTAGCAGCATCTCGAAGGGCCGTAACTCTGAAGAACCTTAGTCTATATTTATTATCTCCCCTTATCTTATTTTCTTTACCTCTCCCATCAATGTTTCATCTCGCCTCTGTGGAGAGCTGTAGCCCTGAGACATTTCTGCCTACATCCAAGTACATCTATCAAGTTAAAAGCAGTCATTGGGTTTTCAAAAATGTCAGGGGCGGTAATGAGGCAAACAGGTGAGCACAGCTGTTGACTGAACGCCGCAGGCTCAGTTGTCGCTCTTTAATGCCCCCGATCCAAAGACCAAGATGTCTACTGCGGATTCCACAACTTGCAATATACTGTGCGAACTGGATGAAAAAACGTATCCTCATAAAGGTTCCCTTCTAGCCCCCCCCCCCCCCCCCCCCAAATCACAACCCCATCCCCCTAAACCTCTTAGCCAAACCATCATCATTTCTCCCACATCCAATACTTACACACTCATACACATTAAACACACGCTTACCCGTACACAGTGGTCTGCAAAAGAAACTGGAAAATAAAATTACCCAATCATCGTATTAAAGCCTTGCACTACTCATTCATGTTGCTTACAGATTAAAGCAATATAGATTCTGTATCTTTTGGCAAATTTAGATTTCATATCCGATACGAATCGTCCGATATACGGTCACTCAAAATTGACCTGGGAAAAAAATGAGACTTGGCAAAACTGTGCGACATCAAAGAAACGCAACAGTGTGTTTGCCCTTGCTTTGGGGTCCATCAATATTGGTGGGGTGGACTTACATTGCGAATCAAATGAAAGGAGAATTCATTTAACTTAGAATTTAGTATCTGCCATAAACACTATTAGATGTATTATATGTTTTTATTATGATAGTTTCAAACTGATCCGAAAAGAGCAGTCACAAAAAATGCTATGCAAAGCTTGGACTTAACGTTAGATGTGCAAGGTATTGTTGAGGAGCCATTGGTTTTGTACAGAGCACGAACCCTTTGAATCATATTATGTCATTCCATCACAAATATCACACAGTTGCAAAAAAGCTTCTGAACTGGGAACAAAGTCGTGTGTCTTCAGCTTCTGTTTCATAGGGTTCCACATACTTATAGGATTCATAAAATCGGGTCTACCAACTGATAACCGCTCCATCTCTTGTATGATTCGGTTTTCCAAAAAATCTCCAGTGGT